ATGCTCCTTATTCCTAATTTACTGAGAGTTATTGAAATAAATGTGTATTAGATTTTGTTGAATTCTTCAACAATTTATAATGTACAGCTTTTCTTCTTTTATTGGTGTATAGTTTGCTTACAATTTTTGACTTTTGAATCTTAAATTAGCCTCATATAACTCAATTTCACAACATTCTCCCGAGCATGTTGTGTTTTATATTATTGTATTTAATTTGCTAATAGTATAAGAGTTAAGGCTGAGTTTTCTTTCATGTTATGATTTTATGTGGTTTGGTTTTACTGTAACATTGACTGCATAAGATGAATTAGGAGGTGTCCCCTCTGCTTCTTTGTTTTGGAAGTGATTTTGGAGAAACAGTATATTTCTTCATTTTAGCATTTGATATAATTCACTAGTAAAACCATTTGGATCTGTTACTTTATGCTTTGGGATGATATTAACAACTATTCCTTCAATTTCTTCTCTAGTGTTACAGGACTTTTCAGATTATTTTTGTCTCCCTGGGAGGCCATTTTTAATTGGGTATTTATCCATTTGCTATTAGGTTGCATAACTTTTGAATTTTAATATCTCATATATTTTGCATTTTAACATTTTATTATATGTAGCATTTGGAAATATTTTTGCTCAGTGTGTAGAGTGTCTTTTCAATCTTTTGATTGCTGCCTATTTTGTGAAGAAACTTTTTAGTTTGATGTAACCCCACTTATCTATATTTGCTTTTATTCCAATACTTTTACAGTCATATCAAAAAATTTTGGCCATGATTAATGTTTATCTTTCCCCCTGAATACCTTTCTAGAATCATTTTCTTAACATTTGTTTTATTTGCTGGAAAGGCAGAATGACAGAGACAGGGGGAGAAAGGGAAGGAGGGAGAGAGTGCAAGAGCCAGGAGTCAGGGACTTCATCCAGGTTTTTCATGTGGATGGCAGTAGCTTCTTTTTGTATGTGCATGGACTTATTTTTGGGATCTCTATTCTGTTCCATAGTCTGTTTAGGCCAATAGTATATTGTTTTAATTACTATAGCATTGTAATCATTTTTTTATTTCCTTATTTGATAGTTAGAGTTACAGACAGAGAAGAGAGACAGAGAGAAAGGTCTTCCATCCTTTGGTTCACTCCCCAAGTGGCCATAATGGCCATAGTTGTGTTTATCCATAGCCAGGAGATATTACCTTCCTTTGGGTCTCCCTTGTGGATGCAGGGGCCCAAGCACTTGAACCATCTTCCACTGCTTTCTGAGGCAATAGCAGAGAGCTGGATCTGAAAAGAGGATCAAAAGGGATGAGATGGGATGTTGGCACCACAGGTGAAGGCTTACCCCACTACATCACAGTGCCCACGCTTGTAATTCATTTTTAAATCAAGAAGAATTATATCTCCCTCCAGTGTCTTCTTTGCTCAAGTTTTTGTGCTTATTATATTATATTGTAGTTACAATTGAACTTTAGAATTGTTTCCTGTAGTTATATAAAGGATATTGATCTTCTTGTAGGAATTGCATAGATCAGTTTATGTAGCATTTTCCTTTCAATAATAATTCTTCCAAATCATGATCAGAGGATGATCTCCTATTTGTGTATCTAATTTTATCATTGATATTTTGAAATTTTCAGTATGGAAGTGTTTTACCACTTTGGTTAATAGTAGTACTGAGTATTTTATTATTTTTGTTGCTATTGTGCTTGAATTTGCTTTTTTATCCTTAATCCATTTTTCTTTTTAATTTTTATTTGAGAGAGTTATAGAGAGGGAGAGACAGAGAGGGAGAGAGAGAGAGAGATTATCCATCATCTGGTTCAATCCCCTAATTGCTGCAATGGCCAGAACTGGACCAGGCCCAAACCAGGAGCTGGGGGCTTCATCTGGGACTCCCATGTGGTTACAGGGGCCCAAGGACGGGGCTATTTTATGCTCTTTTCCATGGCAAATTAGCAGCAATCTGGATTGGAAGTACAGAAGCTGGGAATTAAACTGTCACACATATGGGATGCCAGTGTTGCAGGCAGTGGCTTTTACCCATTATGCCACAGTGCTGGCCTGTCCTTAATACATTTTTACACATTTAAAAGTATTATTTAAAAATGTGTCGTTAATCTCCACATATACTGAGATTTTTCTGACTGTATTTCAAATGCTGATTTCAAGTTTAAATAATCATAAACTGATAGACTGAATAATTTCTATTTCATTAATTTATTAAGGTATATTTTATTCACCAAAATGTGGTTTATCTTTTTCATTATCTATGCAAAGTTGAGAAGAGTGAATGTTCTGCTGTTGGTGGCTGAAATATTATATGAATGTTAATTCAATATTTTTGATTAATGATCTTATTCATTTCAAATATATTTTCTGAGTTTGAACTTGCAGAATCTATAAATTACTAAAATACAGCTTTGGAAATCTCCAAATATAATATGATGTCTATTATTCCTTATAGTTTTCTGTTTTGGCCACATGTATTTTGATGCTCTGATATAAGCTACTAACATACTAAAGAGACTTTTGTCTTATAGGAGATCATTAATTGATATGTCTGATAACTTACCTGGCCTTGAAATAATCCTTTGTTTGAAATTAGCATAGATATTCTAGTGTTGTGGTTTTTTTTTTTTTTTAGATTAGTGTTATTGTGTTCTTTCTCTTTTCATGTCTGTGCCCTTATATTTAAAGGGGGTTTCTTAGAGACAACATGTAGGAGGATTTTGTTTTTATGTTTCCCTATCCTATGGTTGTCCATGTCTTTAAGCTGAGAGAATAGTCACATTTATAGTGATTATTGGCATTGTTTAATTCCTGTCTGTTTGTGATTCTTTTCTATTCATTATTGTTGTTCTTTGCTTCCCTTTTCTATCTTCATCTCATTTCTGCTTTCTCAGGTTTTAATTTTTTTTTGTAAGTACATTTTCTTTCTTCTATTTAACAAATACACTTCTTTAAAAATTATTTTTAGGAATTGCCCTAGAATTTTCAATATGCATTTACAGCTAGTCTAAGTGCACTTTTAAATAACACTATGCTATATCCTGGGTAGTCTAAATGCCACGTATCAAGATATTATCAATATCCTCTCTGATATCTCTGATAATATTAATGTTACTCATTTAATTTATGTATATATTAAAATCCCCTAATGTTTCTTCTATTAAAACTTGAGAGTTGTCATTTAGGTCAGTTAAGGATAGAAGAAAGAACAATTTTTACTTTCATTTATTTCCTCCTTGACACTGTTCATTATGTAAATCTTTGAATTATGACCTATACTATTTTTCTTTTCTATGAATAACTTATTTTATGATAAACCACCACTACTTTTTTTTTTTGACAGGCAGAGTGGACAGTGAGAGAGAGAGAGACAGAGAGAAAGGTCTTCCTTTGCCGTTGGTTCACCCTCCAATGGCTGCCGCGGCCAGCACGCTGTGGCCGGCACACCATGCTGATCCAATGGCAGGAGCCAGGTACTTATCCTGATCTCCCAGGGGGTGCAGGGCCCAAGCACTTGGGCCATCCTCCACTGCACTCCCTGGCCACAGCAGAGAGCTGACCTGGAAGAGGGGCAACTGGGACAGAATCCGGTGCCCCGACCGGGACTAGAACCTGGTGTGCCGGTGCCGCAAGGTGGAGGATTAGCCTAGTGAGCCGTGGCGCCGGCCACCACTACTTTCTTGTCATGTAATGTCTTTTTTATACTTCCTGAAGAATAATTTCATAATCCATAAATTTCTAAGTCTGTTTTTCTTTTAATAGTTTAAATATTTCACTCCTTGCTTACATGGCTTCTGAAGAGAAATCCAATACATTCCTTCCCCTCTGCCTCCTTTAAGGTTAATGTAATCATTTTCTTCCAGTTTATTTCAAGATTTTTACTTCATTTAGGGTTTTCTGCAGTTTAATATGATTTGATCTTGTGTTAATTTGCAGACCTTTTATCCTTTTTTTTTTTTTTGACAGGCAGAGTGGATAGTGAGAGAGAGAGACAGACAGAGAGAAAGGTCTTCCTTTTTGCCGCTGGTTCACCCTCCAATGGCCACCATGGCTGGTGCACTGCAGCCAGGGCATCGCACTGATCCAAAGGCAGGAGCGAGGTGCTTCTCCTGGTCTCCCATGGGGTGCAGGGCCCAAGCTCTTGGGCCATCCTCTACTGCCTTCCCTGGCCACAGCAGAGAGCTGGCCTGGAAGAGGGGCAACTTGGAAAGAATCCGGCACCCCAACCAGGACTAGAATCCAGTGTGCTGGCACCACTAGGAGGAGGATTAGTTTAGTGAGCTGTGGCGCTGGCCAGACCTTTTATCCTGATTGCTGTTTTGTAAGCTTCTGGGATCCATAGTTCAGAATCTATCTTTAATTTGGAAAAACTTCATCCATTTTCAGTCTTTGGGATGTTTCTGTTGGCCAATCTGCACTTAGCTTCCATCAGTTCACAAAAACTGTCAAAATGTCCTTATCAGTGTAAACCTCCAGTATCTTCTTCCTCAGATAAACTCATCTCAGTGGTTGTTTTCAGTATGTTTCTGTCTCTTTAGCTATCGAGAAGGACGTTTATCCTGTGATCTCTGTTCTCTGATGGTTATGAGAAAAGTTGTTGGTTTTCAGTTTATTCCAAATCTCTCTTCTCAGAAAATCAGGAATGTCAGTTTTTAAGCTCATACATGTCATAGCCAAAACAAGGATTCTATCTTCTTTCCTATGTTGCCACGTTACAAAGCTTGAATTTTAGATACTATATTTGCTGAAAAACCTTAATTAATAAAGTCTATTTCCTTATGAAAAACTAGCCAACATAGTAATTCATGCCTTTAATGGTCATGAAATGTACAGCAATAATGTTACCTTTTAGTCTTATAGAATATGATAAAAATAGCAAATACATGTCATCTTGATAGCAATGCTATCTGTTCTTGTCAATGCTCTTCTTTATTCTATATAATTTATTGTTTAGAATATGCACATATTTCATTAATCAATTTTTATTCATTATATTATGAACAATTTTTTTTTTGTGTACACATTTAGTTTTATTGTAACAAAGCAACTTGTACACTTTTAACGTTTAAAACTGAGCATCTTTCTTTTCCAGTGAAACAAAAAGAAAATTTAAAAATAAACAGGAACAAAATTACAATAGAGAATGTCAATTCCAAATAAGATCCTACAGGTTCTGCTGATTCTCCCATCGAGTGGCAGGGCTCAAGTCATCATTAGGAGAGAATTTTATTTAAAAGTGTCATCTTCAACTGCAAGGATGTCCGTTAAACATCACAATTAAACATGCCAAAGGAGAAGCCATGTTGTCAAAATGCCCACTTAACCCACCCAAACATCTCAAACCCACCCTTTGCTGACCTTCTATAACCCCATTTTTTTAAGGTTTTTTTTTCTTTTTTTAAACAAGAGAAAGTTGACAGATACATGTTGGTAAATGCTAACTGTCCGTATTCACATAGAGACACAGTGTAATCTCTGAGCCCAATATACAGAGAAAGGAGGAGAAAAGCTAGAATTCTATGCACTACTACACAGGGGCCTGGCACCCTCCAGCTTCCAGCAGAGCCGGGAGCAGGAGGGTTTCTTTTTCCCGCAGAGCACGGTGGTGTTGATTCCATACAGTTTTTGTCGAGACGAGAGGGATAAAATGAATTTGGAACAGAAAGGGGTAGAGATTCTTTTCCCATTGTATTCTGCTTCAGGTATTTTCCCCACAACAAGGTGAGAACCATGGTGTAGAGAAAAGAGACCTCAAAAACAGGGAGACTGAGCACAAGAGGGAAAAAAATAAAAAGAAGACGGCAATTTGCTCCCAGGGACTGGAGAAAATTAAAAAAAAAAAAAAAAAGTTGGAATCCATCAGTGTTTTCTATTAGTCATCTTCTCCTTCATCCTCCTCCCCTTCTTCCCCTTCATCCTCATCCTCGTCTTCCTCCCCTTCATCCTCGTCGCCTTCCTCATCAATGTCTTCCAACCCTTCTTCTTCATCATCATCATCATCATCTTCTTCTCCTTCCCCTTCTTCATCATCCATATCAGGAACCAGGTAGTACTGTAATGGATTCGGCCAGATATCATCCTTGATGACCTCTCCTAACTCATCCGCACCCGCGTCAGAATGGTCAGTGAACCAGGTGAAGAAGCTCTCTGGCTCCTCGTGCTGCCTCTTCCTGCTGGCTTTGTTCTGCGTTTGACTTGAACGTTTCGTCAAATCCTTCCCAGATTTCCACTTGATTTCGGTGGACTTCGAAGACGGGTCACCACTCTCATTCAGATGGAATTCTTTGGAGAGAACTTTATTTTCAAAGTAAGGATTTTCATCAAAATAAAAATCTATTCTGTAACCTGATTTAATATCTTCAAATTCTGTCACTTCCACTCTGGTCAGATAATGCAGCGCCTCTTCATCCTCCTCCCCAAGCAGTGCAGACACTTGTGGATGGTTGACAAATGTTGTTACCCAAAAATTTGGGATTTTGGCGATCAGTTCTGACCTCTTCTGAAAAAATGGTTGGCGGAGTTTGTTATATTTCTGTTCTACTTTCAAAATCTCCTCACTGGCTTGTTCATTAAGTCTGTCTATTTCATTTTGTACTTCATCAATATGTTCAATTGCTTCTTGTTGTTCTTTTTCTGAGGTCTCGTCGGCCCCGTCGTGGTTGGAGTTGAGCTCCTTCTTACTGACTTTGGCCGCCGGCGCCGACATGGTGCTGCTCCGCGGTCGGGGGCGGAGCGGGGAGGGGGAGAGAAGGGCCGGCGCGGGGGGCGGCGGGCGGCTTCCCCTCACGCCACACGCGCGGGCGCTCGCTCGCTCGGTCCGGCCGCCTCCTCCCGGCGCCGCTCGCTCGCCCTCCCCCTCGCTCGCTCGCTCGCGCGCGCGGCCCTCGCGGCCTGACGACGCGGGAGGGGCTGGGGCGGCGCGCCGGGCCCTGGCCGGGGCTGCTGCTCGCGGAGGGGCGGCGGCGGCGGCGGCGGCGGCGGCGGGCGGGCGGCTCGGCTCCCTCACTCGCGCTCCGCGCTCCAGCTCGCTGCTCGCTCTCCCCGAGCCGCCTCCTCCTCCTCCACCTCCTCCTCGCGGCGAGGGCTATATTATGAACAATTACAACCACTCATACTCAACACATGCTTTACTGCCATATCAGAAGTTTTCATAACTTTCTCCTCCTTTTCCTCCTTCAAAATAAAAATTGAAAAAAAGTCAAATGGAAACCCAGATCTCTTTGTTATCTATCTTGCCTCAAAGTTTCAGGTTTTTGTCTATTTGTCCTCAACACACTCAATTCTCCCATGTTCCTATATTTTTGGACATCCTCTACTCTTTTCTACATTACAGGTGCATAATTTCTCTGTTATTCCAAGAAAACACAGAGACCGTAAAAACCATAGGCAGTATTATTGTAGTCCAACACATCCATCCTGTTCAATAATAGCAAGCAGCCTGATTTGATTGAAAATAAATATATCTTGATATTCAAAACTCTTTAATAGCATCTCATCACACCTGAAAAGTCCAAGACTCCTTTCCCTGTCCTATGGTGTTCTCCTTGAAGAAGTTCAAATTTTTTCTCTATCATGTGTGCTAGTTCAGAGCATTTTTACTGGTTTTTTAATGCTGTTTAGCAGGAGGATCCAGGCAGTTGGCTGGCTTGGGATAGAAACTATAAAGGGCATAGAGAAAAGGGCCATGTGAGTTTTGGAGGTGAAAAATATGGGGACAGAATAGATGAAGCATCTATTGTATCTATATGATGCTGTGAGAAAACATGACACTTCATGGAGATACCAAAAAAATTAAAATTAAGGAAAAATTCAGACTCCTGTCATCACATGTAACCAAATATCAAAATATATACTCTGATTTCCTCTCCTAATTTCTATAGATTAACTGAGTAGATTTTTGGAGTTGTTCTGACTTTTCCCCTGTACCCCTGGATTTCCTCTTTCTTTCATAGTGATATTATTACTTTTGATATATGTGATTTTCTAATAATTCATCTCATGCTAAAAGGGAAAATAAAAACTCTTAACCTTATTTTATTGTATTTTTATGAAATACACAAATTATCACAAACTCAGAAGCTTAAGTTTATAAATTTTTATTTCACAAATTCTTCATGTCAGCACATCAGGGTATGAGGGAGCTGGCCATTTGCAAAGCAGCAATCAAGATGCTGGCCATGACAGGGTTCTCATCTAAGTGCTCACCTCAGGATCAGTCTATTTAAAAGTCCACTAGGGTATTTGGGCAACTTTAGAAAGAATCTGTAAGCAATAGAATCTTTTATAATATGAGGTAATAAGGTGAGCGACAACCCCTACCCCTCACTTTCACCATAACTATAACTTTGAAGTAATTCACAAGCATTAGGAGAGGTTTATACAGTGGTATAGATATCAGGAACTGTGTGTCATGGGGGTCTCTTTAAAAATTTGTCCATGACATCCATTAACAGCTTTTGTACTAATCTCATTTCTCTACTTCCTTCACAACAAATAGCTGGAAATGTTTTCACTTGCTGGACTTGATTCCCCACTTTCTTTGTATGTATTCAAGTCATGTGCTTCTCCATCATTCTACCAAAATTGTACTATTCCAGGTCACCAATTACCTACCTTACCATTGCAGAGTCAAATTGGCAATTATCAGCTCTCCTTTTTCTGCCTAACAGTGAAATCAGCTAATAATTATAGTCTCCCTGAAATATCCTCTGAACCTAACATCCGGAATATCCATATTCACTAATTTTTTTCTTTATTTAGCTATCTCCAATATCATTTTCTGCTTATTCTTCTTCTATAAAATCCGTTTCCCTTGAAAAAAAACTCCTGCTTTTATTTTCATTTTTTTTTCTCTCTGTGCTAAATTAAGTGCATGGATAATATCTTCAATTCTCATGGTTTTATATGTCATCTATAAGGGTAGACATTATGGTAAAGTGGGTATGCCATCACTTGGGATGCCTGCACATGATATTGTAGTGCCTGGTTTGAAATTAGGCTACTTCACACGTTTGATTCAGCTTTCTGGTTTTGTGCTTGGGAAGTTACAGTTAACAACCCAGTGTTCGGGTTCCTGCTACACATGTGGGAACCTTGATGGAATTCTTGACTTCTGACTTCTTCCTGGACTAACACTGCTATTGTGGACATTTGTGAGTGAACCAAGAGGTAGACACTTTTTCCTGTGCTCTTTTTATGTCACTTTCTCGGCCATTGCCTTTCAAATAAATGCATTTTAAAAATAATATATATGGATGAGGAAAGGATATTTAATGGATGCAAAGATAGAGATAGGATGAAGAAGTTCTGATATTCCATTGCACAGCAAGGTCACCCTAGGTAATGGTTATTTACTGCACTTTTTAAAATTTTTTCTAATTTTTTTAGATTTATTTATTTATTCAAATGTCAGAGTTACATAGAGAGGAGAGGCAGAGAGAGAGAGAGAGAGAGAGAGAGAGAGAGAGAGAAGTCTTCCATCAGATGGTTCACTCCCCAGATGGCTGCAATGGCTGGAGCTGTGCAGATCTGAAGCCAGGAGCCAGGAACTTCTTCCAGGTCTCCCACGTGGGAGCAGGGGCCCAAGAACTTGGGCCATCTTCTACTTCTATCCCAGGCCAAAGCAGAGAGCTGGAACAAAAGAGGAGCAGCCAGACTAGAACTGGTGCCTATATGGGGTGCTGGCACTTCAGGTGAGGGCGTTAACCGGTTGTGCCACAGTGCCGACCCCATACTGCACATTTTTCTATAAAAACACTATAAGAAATGATTTTAAATATTTCTATCATAAGTACATGATAATGTTTAAAAAGATAGATATATTTAGCCTGATTGGGCATGAAATAATTTATGCGTATGTTGAAATAAATATATCTGATGGATACTTACAATTTTTATTTAAGTTAATTTTTTTAAATAATGAAAATAGGGGCCAGTGTTGTGTTGTGACACAATATGGTAAGCTGCTATTTGTAATGCCATCATCCTCTGTTGAAGTGCTGATTTGAATCCCTGCTGATCTGGTTCAAATACATCTCCCTGCTAATGCACCTGGGTAGACAGTGGAAAATGGCCCAAATTCTTGGGCCCCCACTATGCATGTGGGACATCAGGATGCGGTTCCTGGATCTTGGCTTCAGCCTAGCCCAGAACTAACTCTTGTGGCTATTTAAGGGAGTAAATCAGCAGATTAAGGACCTTTCTTAGGGTATTTGGGTACTGTGGTGTAGCAGGTAAAGCTGCTGCCTGCAGTGCCAGCATCCCATATGGGCGCCGGTTCGAATCCTGGCTTCTCCACTTCCGATCCAGCTCTCTGCTATGGCCTGGGAAAGCAATAGAAGATGACCCCTGTACCTCTTTGGGAGACCCAGAAGAAGCTCCTTGCTCCTGGCTTCAAATGAGCACTGCTCCAGCCATTGTGGCCCATTGGGAGTGAACCAGTGAATGGAAGATGTCTCTCTCTCTCTCTCTCTCTCTTTCTCTCTCTCTCTCTCCCTCTCCTCACTCTCTGTGTAACTCTTTCAAATAAATATATTTATTTATATATTATATATTTATTCTGGACCTCTTCTTTTTACTCCCTTCTATTAATCTGATGTACAATAACCATTTAAATGTTTAATAAGAACATTCTCTAATCTGACATTCATCTCAATAGCTGAGAATTTCAATTTTCAATTGTTCAACTCAAAATAATCATAGTGATGCTCATCAACTCATCAATCATCTTCTCTCCTTTCCTTTCACATAAACTAATTAATACATAAAACCTCCCTGTTACTGTCTTTGAAATATTTCCCTTATATGACAATTTTTGACCCTATCCTTTCCTAGCACTCTGGTCCATGTAATCAACATTTTTATTATGGGTTATTGAAATAGGCATCTCTATTGTCTTTACTTCAATTGCATAGTTTTCCTTTTTTTCCATAATCTCTATCTGGCTTTATTATTAATTTAGAAAATAGAGCAATTTACTTTCAAATGAAATTAAAGCATGTCATTCCACGTACAGAATTCTCTGATTGCCATTATTTCAGAACTAAACTTAAATCCTTTACCATGATCTAGAAGACATCCTCAAACTTACTCCTGCTGTATTTTTATTACTTTTATGTTAATGATGAAATTGGGTATTTTGAATTAGTCCTCCGGACCCAATTTAGAGGATCCCAATTTCGCTATCAACATCCAAGAATCATAATCCATAGTCATTTGATTAAATGATTTCTGTTTTCCATCAGCCTGATCAGGATATTCACCTTGGCCACATCTAAGTCAGAGTTGCTTCACAGTTTGATCTGGTAATAGCTGGCCTTGACATCCTCAACAAACGTTAAGTGTGTGTGGCCATCCGTCTTCCTCATGGAAGCTCTGCTGTTGGGGGGAATTGATGGCATGCCAATCAAACTCGTTTCTCTTGGAGGTGCACTTTCAGGGATCTCTGGGCTTCCTCTGGAGTTACGCTGTTTTATTTGTTTTTCTTCATTCCTTCCTTCCTTCTTCCCTCCATACAATTTTTTCCTTTTCCTCCTCTCCCCTTCCTCCTCTTCCTCTTTGTCCACCTCTACTTCTACTTCTACTTCTATTTCTACTTCTACTAATACTTCTACTTCTACTACCACTTCTTCTCCTTCTCTTCTCTTTTGCACTTTTTCCCTCCCTCCCTCTCTCTCTCCCTCTCTCTCCTTCTCTCCTTGTCTCTCTATCATGGGTGGCTCTGGATAGCTTTCAGTGCTGTTTTCTTGTCCTCAGCATTTGCCTTGACATCCACTTTGGGAGGGGCAGGAGCTTCTTTGTTTTGGTGCCATCTTGTTCAAAAAGGCCATATTTTCTCACTTTGCTTAAATATAATTTATGAGTCATTTTGTTTCAGAATTACGCTGAAGGAGAAAAATCTAGTTACTCTGTATTTTTAAAAAGATTTTCTTATGTATTGGAAAGGCAGTTACAGAGAGAGAGGGATAAACAGAAAAAGAGAGAGATCTTCTATTGGCTGATTCACTTTGCAAATGGCAGCAGTGGCCAGGACTGGGCCAGGATGAAGCTAGAGGCTTCATCT